TGCCTCTCACCACCTCCAGAGAACTCGATTTGATTGGCCTGGAGTGGAGCTATTTGATTAAGTTTCCCAGGTGTTCAGAGTTGGGCAGAATCTCTGTATATACGAAAGAAAACATCCATGCATCAGACAGATTACAAAAATAAAAAAGAAGTATAGAGGTAACATATACCTCCTGTATATGTACATCCTACCTACTACATGGGAGAGACCCAGCACCACTGAGTAACTACCCATGTGGCTGCAGGCCATCTTCCATCTTCAATAGCTTAGATAAGACCTAAGGACTTTAGGAAGGAGAAAGGGGCAGATAAATTGGGAACGTTACAGCAGATAGAGGTCTCTGCTTGCTACTTTTGCTGAAGACAGAGCCAAGGGGGTGGGGGGGGGCAGAGGTGGTTTGTTCTAGAAGAAGAAATCCCGTATTTCTATGACTTTGATACTCAAAATGAGCAAAAAATGCAGCATTTATAAACAATGGACCAGGTGTTTCAGATCTTATCTGTTACCCAATTGGTCAATAATCTGTGAACATGGCCCTCAAGGCAGTTTAGATCAAGGCTAAGTAATTCAACCCTTCCAAGTGGTTCATGAATCTACTACAGAGAAAATGTGGTTCACAGAGTCAAAACTTTAAAAATTTTGTTTTTAATTTGGAGTTTGAGTTATTCTGACTTTGGCCAAAGCACTGTGGAAAAGGTGAGATTTCTCTGTCCTAGAGTTCCTTCAACATAACCAGGGATACTTGGAGGATAATATTTAACAACTATATTTTCTTTGATATCAGCTGGTGCTTTGCAGATGGCTGAGAAAGGGATTGTCAGTTTGTCCTTGTTTCTTGAGAATTCCTGACCTGATCAGTCATGTTTTGATATTTCAACTTATTCTCAAGCTCCCAGACAGGCAGGCCAAACTTCTAGAAAGTCCAATACTGCTTGAGTCCAACTGATCCACAAAGGTGTACATAAAATATGTTTGCCTTTGTTGGATCCCTAGAATGTTTTTTATTCTCTATTGATTTTTAAATTTACCATGGACATGGAAACACCTTTAGAACAAATCTTGGGAGAACAGCATCAAGTCATGAAAGGTGTGCTTGATTTCTTCTCACTGAGAAATTTCATTCCTCTTTTCAACACTTCCACCTACATGATAAGGATTCCCTACCTTTAGAGAGAATAAAAAGTAAACTGGTGGTGTCTTTAGCTTCTTGTTTCCCATGAATAAGATTACCTTTCTCCACACACATTTGTTTTCAAAAAGCTACATTGAACCTGCAAATAGACACTAGACGCTACCTCTTTCCTGTGGGGTGCATGAATATCACTCTGGCATCCAGGCTCAGAGACTTGGTTACCAGGGGAATGCCACAGGCAAGACTTTATAAGAATTCAAATGGGTTAGGCCATACCTGATCTGCCCATGAGAGTGGCATTTCCTGGTGGCCATGCTGGTGAGCCTTTGGCTCATTTATTCATTCATTCACCAAGCATTTACGGACTCCTACTGTGCACTGCTGGCTAGAAGTTCAAGGAAGGAACTGGCCCTTTCTGAGCAGTAAAGTAACTGACATGAGTGGGAAGGACTGAATTATAAAGATGTGTGATAAAACATTCCCCGGGTGGGCCTCCCTGGTGGGCCTCCCTGGTGGTGCAAGGGGTTAAAGCACAGCACTGTGAAGCTGTCTGAAGCCACTGCAGCACAAGTTCCATCTCCAGCCAAGGAGCTACCCATGTGGCACAGAGGACCTCTCCTGTCTCGCTCTCTGATCCCCTCAGCAGTGTACTTTGTCAGTCGGCCTGTTGTGCTCCCCACTCTGTCTCTGGTGAGTCCTCTCACCTGCTTGTACCTAGTTCCTGGATACAAAATAAATCTTTTAAAAAACTAAAACACTCCCCAGGACTTGAGAGGACCCAGGAGGCTTTCTTAGATGAATGAACTAGAGTTAAGCCTTTAAAGTTTAGAGCCACGGGGATTATTTTACATGTAGGAGCCTTGAGAGCAGGGTCAGAACATCTGTGGCCTTCCACAGCCTGCCAAGGTGTTAGATTGTTTCTGTAAGTAGAGGAAGACCTAGCAGGTTTGCATGCCCAAAAGACTCTAGAACTTCAAATAAAAACTTAATATATATTAAGTCCCTTCCCATTTAGACCAATCAGAAAACTGGATACTAAATCAACTATTCTAATTCAATGAAGATACAGTCCTTGCCTGTGTGAGTGAATGATTGACAAGTGAACAGCTTAAGACAGAGATTCTAGACTTCATGATAGTCTAGAAATGATATTGAACTCCCAAGGTATTGCTTCCCTTTTGCCCTGACTCAGGGCCATGCCTTGTTGGAGAGGGCATAGCTGTAGCTCTCTGGTGCCAGTCCAGCAGAACTTGCAGTAAGTCTGACTTGTGGGGTTCTGAGAGAAGCTGATCAAGGGAGGTGGTTTGCTGAAGTCATTTTGCTGTGAAACAGCCTGGGACCTGAGATGGAATGAGGGATGGTGCCCAGAGAAGCTACTCCTTGCCTGAAAATGGGGAGCAACTGTTGATTAATGCTTTTTAGAAAGTTGCGAAGTATTTACTGAACACATACTTTCTTTTTTAAATAAAGATTTATTTACTTATGCATACAGAACTGTGGTGCAGGCTAGCGGTGCAAGGTGAGAGAATTCATCAGAGACAGAGTGGGGAGCAGAACAGCTGAAATATACCGCTAAGGGGAGCAGCGGGAGAGACAGGAGAGGTCTGCCACACCATGTGGGTCAGCTCCTTGGCTGGGGATCAAACTGATGCTGCAGAGGCTGGGGATAGCTTCCTCATGTTGTGCTTTGACCTGTTGTGCCACCAGGGAGGGCCCTGAACACATACTTTCTAAAGCTCCAGGAGAAGTGGATTAGTAGGGTTAGCACTGCTCTATCCTTCCTGAACTGCTTACCCTTTGGTGACCATCAAATACTTCCTGGGTCTTTGTGACAACTCTCTCCTACCCTTCTCCCTTGACTGCCACCTTCTGAGTCCCCAGTCCTCATTGAGAGCACTTCACTCACTCTGTTTTCCTTGACCTGGTCTGGTCTTGCTCGCCTTCACCTGCATACAGTCCAGGTCTCCACTCCCTAACCCCACTTTCCACCTGCTTGTTGGGACATTTCCACTGAAAAGTGGAACTTCATCTTCTAGTGAAACTTCAGCAGTGCTCATTAAAAAATGGGCAGGGGTGAGGGGCCGCCCTTGAAGCCTAAGGGTTAAGTCTCAGTGCTATTGCTATATCATTTTGCAACCTGAGTTTTACCCCTGGCCAGGGAGCTACCCACATAAAATCTGCCTGTTCTGTCCCACACTCTGTCTCTGGTGAATCCTCTCAGCCCCCACCTTTGGTCTACACCCCAGTTCTTCTATGAAAAAAAAAAAAACCCAAACCAAAAAACACCCTACAAGTCTCAGCTTTGTCTTTGACCTAAGTCCTTGGGGTTCTTTGGAAATTTCTGCCCTGTCTCTTCTGCTGCAATCCCCTTCTATTCTTGGCTGGCTCCCAGCCTGTAGGTTTTTATCATCACAATTCTCCAAGGCAACTTGAATGCTTGCTGTAGGATGCTGGTGTCACCCCATCCATTTTAAGGTGCTCAAGTACTGTTTCGCTGCCCTGACTTTGGGCTTTGATGCCATTTCCACTGTCTGTTCCCACTCCCTTCTCTTGTGCACAACCTGTTGACAGTCTACAGCTGCCTGTCAGGAGAGCTGGATCACCCCTCTACACAGTTCACACTCCCCATTCACCTTGAATGTAGCTCTCATGCACCTGCAATTAAGACCTGCAGTTATTTCTAGAATAGCTCAACCTCAGCCCAACTCCCAACAAAAACTCCTTTGACCACTGCTGTTTCTTTTGGATTTGTAAGTAGCATCCCCCCTCACCACTGCTTTTAAAGTCTTTTTATATTGTTATTTTGAATTATGGAAAGTCCAAGTGTTAGCAAATACTGACTTATAACTGTATGACTGTGCAGTTGTTTGATATTTCCTTACTTGTTTGCTCCTGCAATCTCAACCTCCGGTGGGGTGGGTTTGTTGCTCTCCATTTCACAGACTTGGAAAGTTTTTTGCCTGAACTCTTAACTGGTTCCCTTGGAATGGGCCTCAACTAGATATCAGCAAAATGGCTCCTCATCCCAGCCCTACTACCTTCAGTTGCGTGACCTTGGGCACATCATTTTCCTACCTCTCTAGGAGGTAGGAAGTTTATTTAGTTATTATTATCATTGTTATTATTTTTAGATGTAAATGGAGTCATGATCATGATCTTACTCCTCTCCACTCGTGTCTAGACACATAAGGTGCTCAATAATAGTTGCTGATTGTGGTAGAGGGAAAGTTAGACATTAAGTTCCTGCCTATTTTGGGGATGAAAAAGACTGCGAGGAAGGCTAAGTAGAAAGTCGGCTTCAGGTGCTGTACGCAAAGGGCGGGACAACGGGAAGGGCTCCTGGAGACCGGGTATTTGAAAGATCCAAGGCTCAGAAGAGAAAAATACCCAGGGGTGGCTAAGGGGAGGTGGGAGGACATTCCGATCTGGGGAAGAGTGAGGACAATGCCTGTTGGAGAGGCGTCTGAGGCCTGGGGTGGGGCGGGGTGGGGAAGAGGTACTGGCGCGGGGCGGAGGAAGGGCGCGTCCCGGGCCGGAGTCGGCGTAGAGGGGTGTCAGGGTGCCAGGGAAAACGTGTCCCGCGGGGCCGTGGGGGCGGCGCGAGGAGGGTAAGGGAAGGAAGGGAGGGGCCAGACGCGCAGCGAGAGCTCGGGGCGGGCTCGCTGGGGAGGCGGGGGTCGGGCGCC